GGGGGGCCCCGGCCCCCGCAAATGTTTTGTTTGGCCCCCCCCCCCCTTTCCCGGTTCTTTTTCCTTTTTTCCCCTTCCCCGGGCCGGGGGGGGCGGGGGGGGATGATGTTCCCCCCCCTTCGAAAAGGAGGGGATTTTTTTCTGGGTTTTCCAGGCTCCCCTGGGGGATGGGGCCCCAAACAGTTTGGGGGGGTTTATTCCATTTGGGAGGGGGGGGGTTTGGGAGCTACCAGGAAACCCCCCAACCCCTGCTTTTCCCAGCTTTTCCCCCGTGTTGTTGGGGCCCGCGGGCGGCCTTTGCCCCGATGCCCCCCCCAACAGCAGGGCCTAAAAAAATTTCGGGTTTTCCCCCCATTTACTTAAGTTGGTTCCCCCCCCCCCCCCCCCTGCCCCCCCCAGTGTTTGCCACCGGGGTTGGGTTTTCGTCGCATGGCAACGACGTTGTAAAACAAGCCGCCCCTCCCGGTGTTTGCCATCGGGGTTCGTTTTCGTCGATTGGCAACGACGTTGTAAAACAAGCCAATTCACTTCGTGAACTCGGCAACCCGGTTACCATTTTTTTTTCCGCTGTTTTTTTTTTTTGCGGTAACCATGAACGGTGGTCGAGTAGATCATGTTGTGCGGGGTCGAGAAGCCTCACTCCGCGCAAGGGGGATGATCGCACCACGTTGTGTTAAAATGGTCAAGCACACCCTCGAGGCAGTTACACCGTGCTTACAACTGTCTCTGGAAATGAAAGCACCAGAAAATAAATTAAGTCATACGCAGCTGTCATCCGTACGCAAGGAAGTAAGCACAAGATGCCGGAACACCCTGAGCAGGATGCAGCGCACCCTTCATGCGACTCGCCAATACCTTTCGGCGCTTCGCGCTTGGTGATGTGAGAGCCTGGTCCCGTGAGAACCCGGCGTGCTCCGTCCCGGCTTTGTAGGGATGCGAGGTCAATGATGTAACGACTACGGCATGCAAGACTATGAGCACACACACACACACACACCCTCCCTCCCCCCTTTGCCCCCCCGGTGTTATGCCATCGGGGTTGGGTTTTCGTCGCTTGGCAACGACGTTGTAAAACAAGCCGCCCCCCCCGGTGTTTTGCCATCGGGGTTGGGTTTTCGTCGCTTGGCAACGACGTTGTAAAACAAGCCGCCGCCCCCCCGGTGTTTTGCCATCGGGATTGGGTTTTCGTCGATTGGCAACGACGTTGTAAAACAAGCCAAGTTACTTCGTGAACTCGGCAACCAGGTTACCGTTTTTTTTTTTTGCGGTAACCATGAATGGTGGTCGAGTAGATCATGTTGTGCGGGGTCGAGAAGCCTCACTCCAAGCAAGGGGGATGATCGCACCACGTTGTGTTAAAATGGTCAAGCATCCTCGAGGCAGTTACACAGTGCTTACAACTGTCTCTGGAAGTGAAAGCACCAGAAAATAAATTAAGTCATACGCAGCTGTCATTCGTATGCAAGGAAGTAAGCACAAGATGCCGAAACACCCTTAACAGGATGCAGCTCACCCTTCATGCGACTCGCCGAATACCTCACGGCGCTTCGCGCTTGGTGATGTGAGAGCCTGGTCCGGTGAGAACCCGGCGTGCTCCGTCCCGGCTTTGTAGGGATGCGAGGTCAATGGTCTAACGACTACGGCATGCACGACTATGAGTACCTCCCCCCCCCCCCCTCCCTCCTGCGGAAAGACCAAAGCCGTCTTGGAAGCAGCAGCAGCAGCAGCAAGAGATTGATTGCAACACAACGAGGGCACATAAAAACCCAAACTAAGCGCGGGCAGACGTACAGCTGCAAGCTGAGCTTCTCCCTCACCCGGTCACCCAGCGCTGCCCCACTAGCTTCGGCCACCCCGCTTCCTTTTTGCCTGCTGCAGCCTTTCCTGCTGGAGCCGCATGCAGCCGACCAGCATCATCAGCCGCCGGTCTGCCGCCCACGGCATCCTTGTCCTTCCTCGGCACTCCTTGGCTGGTTGAGTTGCTCGGACTCCCCCGACTCGGGCGCGGGGGGGCGGGGGTGACACCCGCAGCGGGTGGTGGTGGTAGTGGTGGTGGTGGTGGTGGTGGTGGCGAAGTAGGTGTCGTGGATTCCTGACATGTGCCACGAGGTGGTCCAGGTAGTCCTGACTCAAAATAGCTTTGTAGGTGCAAAGACGCGGGCACGGCAGCCAATTCACAGGTACAGCAGCAGTAGTAGTTTACCATGGTTAGACTGTGTTGATGGATACTTCTTGCCTGGTACAGTACATGGCCTGGATTTTTGCGGGCAATGAACAATGAGAAGCAGTTGTTATTGCATTGTGCTTCGTGACAGGAAGGAGCGGGCGAGCCGCAAGTCGCTGGTATGCGTAAAGCTCATGTCTCTTGGGATTGCGCTATTGCACTGCATGCAGATGCACGAGGTGACGGAACAGCATTTGAAATTTGAAATCTCACTGGTTTATTGCACGTTCGACGTTGTATCCCGCCGTTCGAAGCAGCAGCTGCAGTTGCCTCTCGTCCCCATCGACACCGACAGCTCTCAGGGTACCCAGCTGCTCAATGAGCCCACTCATGGCACGCTGGGTGTTGCCCGATGTTGCTGGGGTTGGCCACTTGGACGGTCTCAGGGGGCCACGTCATCTCACGGTTGTTTTTCAAAGGGTGTGTGGTATATGCCTGTCTGTTGAGCCCCAACCTCTCGTCTCTAGGTATGGTATGGTATGTCATGCTCTTCTTGCTGAGACACTGCTCGTGCTGGATCATGACGACCGTATCTAGCGGGAGAGCACTGTTCTTCTGTGCGGTAGCCACCTTGGTGGCTGCAACGGGTGCCTTCCATGCGCCAACAGCGAGCTTCAACGCCAGGAGTATTAGTGCAATGGGAACCGCTTCAACAGCGGCCGCCGCCGCCGCAGCAGCAGCAGTAGCACCCTCCGCTTCACAACAACGGCGAAGAGGAGGAGCAACAACCTCGCGTCGTAGTGGCGTGTCCGACCTGAACGCCAGGGCTGACAGTGGTGGCGAGGAAAAGTTTTACACGCCAGCAGACTTGGCAGCGTACAGCAAGCCGTGGGGCATCACGTTGCACTATCGCGGGACGCTCAACACATACCGGATAGAGGCGCACAGGCCGAACGGCGAGGTCGCTGGTTACACTACGGGCTTCTACCTGGGAGATCTGTTGCACCTGGACAAAGTGCAAGTGAGTGTGTGTGCCAACATTGTTGAAAGCAAGCCGACGAATATCGTCGGCGTTGCTAGTCCCAAGCTTTATATTTTTATTTTAGTCGCGTGTTGCGCGTGTGCTGACACCACGAACGGGAAGGACCTTAATTAGCCGACACACTACGCAATAATGGTCGTGATGGACGCGGGTACGCAATAAAAAAACAACACATACATCCGATCCTCGGGAATCACGAAATGCAACGTCTACATACACACGGTAGGCACTCTGTCTGTCCCTTTAACACGGTACGTACTGCTTTTGCCTACCACTCACTCTCGTCCTCTCGTCCGCATCAACAACAAACAATGCAACTTGCCGCACAACAAGAGCCATCCCTGCAGGAAAAGCTGTACAAACAAGCAAAAAGCAGCTCCTGCTGCGGTAAGCTGCTGCTGTATGTACCATTTTTCAGCACGCACGAACAACAGATACAGCACAGGCGAAAGAGCTGAGTCTGCCTGTCTGTGTCTGCGTCGGCGTGAGTAGGGGTGGGTGTGAGGTATCGATAGAGTAACGACAGGATGTTTTTTTATGTTTATTCTTCTTAATATGACACAACGAATCCATCTCCATCATAGAAAAGAGTCTGAGACAGATTAGCAATGAATTCATTGTGTATGGCATCTCGACGAGTATCGTCGCGTTGCCTGTCTGAAGCTTTCGATTTTTGCAGCGGGTAACAATCAAGGTAGACACCAAGAAGATGCCCGATGAGCACACAGGAACCGGGGGACCCCAAAAAACAAAAGCATGAAAAACAAAAGAAAGAAAGAAGCGAGAACAAACGAGTCAGACGCGACAGGCTTCAGGGAGGAGGCAAAAGAGCGCATAGAAGAAAAGCACCGTCGCCGCTCGCTCCGGACCGCTGGAAACTCTCACATAGCACTACATATGGAGCAAATATTAGGTAGGGCCCAAGTCCATTGCTTGGCATAACGCCCATCGCTTCACATGCAGCAGCGCGGATGCACGGGTAGCCTCTTACTCAGCAAAAAGCGAAACGACTGCGGTTGGTTGACGTTCGATGTTGTTGGGACCCTACCGGCGAAAGGCGAGAGAGAGAGAAAGAGAGGTAGACAAAAATACGAGAGCGGAGAGAAGACAAGGCATTGACTCTCTCGAGAAGAGAAGGCATTGACTCTCTCGAGAAGAGAAGGCATTGACTCTGTCGAGAAGACACTCACTCTCGTCCCTCTGGCCCGCCGCAGGCTGTCAGACATGATGTCACGTTGTGTATCGAACGGCGATATCCGATGTCGGCTCAGCAACAGCAAACAAGCACAACAACAAACAAATATAGTCAGTCGCCGTGTGCGAGCTGTGGACTACTATCTTGTTGTAGGAAGTGAGAACTAAAAAGAGCACGACTACATAGCACCACGGACGAACTATTATCGCAATACGCTTGCCGTCCGCCATAGATGCGCACCGCTGCACGAACGAGCTGTTGGTTATCATACCTCACTACGTAGTATCTAAGATTGTGCTGCCATCTAGCTTACCTATCGCTCAAATTACGACTACGCAGCAGACTCAAGGCAAGGAAGCAACACGCGTGCCGATGCATACCAACCATGCATGCAGCAAAACAAAACAAGGCGGACCGTCTGTTGTTGTTTGTCTCTTCAACTGACTGTGCTGCCGACAACGACACTGGAAAAAAGTAGGAGACGCGCATCGCCTACGCGAGCAACGCGTGCAGCCCAAAAAAACAGAGACGATAACCTTACGACCTTTCTTTTCAGCACATTCATTCCGAGCATATACTGCAGCAACCGCAAGTATGTGTACAGCAGCAGCCGCATGTTGTGTACAACAACGGTCACTCAGGAAGAAAATCACAACAACAAACAAACGCAAAAAAAAAAAGGTGGTGGCGCGCAGCACGCAGGACCCTCTTTCGCTTTGAACCGGCCATTCCCATGGCGAAACAGACAAGGTACAGCAGTGAAGGCCGACTCTTGCCGGCCCCAGGAGGCGGAAGCTGCTACAACTCGGGGACGGGTCATGATTTGCGATTGATTCCTCACCGAACGGATATC